AAAAGAGGAGACTAAGGGGGGATATGATAGAGGTATATAAAATCATGAGTGGTGTGGAGAAAATGAATAAGGAAAAATTATTTAGTTGTTCTCATAATATAAGAACTAGGGGCCACCAAATGAAATTAATGGGCAGCAGGTTTAAAACAAATAAAAGGAAGTTCTTCCTCACTCAGCGCACAGTCAACCTGTGGAACTCTTTGCCTGAGGAGGTTGTGAAGGCTAGGACTAGAACAGGGTTTAAAAGAAAACTGGATAAATTCATGGAGGTTAAGTCTATTTATGGCTATTAGCCAGGATGGGTAAGGAATGGTGTCCCTAGCCTTTGTTTGTCAGAGGGTGGAGATGAATGGCAGGAGAGAGATCACTTGATCATTACCTATCAGGTTCACTCCCTCTGGGGCACCTGGCATTGGCCACTGTTGGTAGACAGGATACTAGGCTGGATGGACCTTAGAGCCAGTATGGTCATTCTTATGTTAACCCACTAAGGTAAAGCCTTACTGCAACAGTAACAGTTGGTGGGCAAAACCAGAGGTGGGCAAACTTTTTGGCTTGAGAGCCACATCTGGGTATGCAAATTGTATGGCAGGCCATGAATGCTCACAAAATTGGCGCTGGAGTGCAGGAGGGGGTAAGTGCTCTAGGTGGGGTTGCAGGCTCTGGGGTGGAGCCAGAAACGAGTTCAGGGTGCAGGAGGGGGCTCTGGGCTGGGGCAGTGGGTTGGAGTGCTGGGGCGGGGGGTAAGAGTTCCAGCTGGAGGTGTGGGCTCTGGGGTGGGGTTGGGGATGAGGGGTTTGGGGTGGAGGACGGTGCTCCAGGCTTGGACCAAGGGGTTTGGAGTGTGGGAGGGGGCTCCAGGATGTGGCAGAGGATTGGGGCATGTGGGGGGTGAGGGCTCCGGCTGGGGGTGCAGGCTCTGGGGTGGGGCTGGGGATGAGGGGTTTGGGGTGTAGGAGGGTGCTCTGTGCTGGGACTGAGAGGTTCAGAGGGCTGGAGCGGGATCAGGGCTGGGGCAGAGGGTTGTGGCATGGGAGGGGCTCAGGGGTGCAGGCTTCGGGTGGCGCTTACCTCAAGCAGCTCCCAGAAACAGCAGCATGTCTCCCATCTGGCTCCTACACGGAGCCGCGGCCAGGCGGCTCTGCGCACTGCCCCATCTGCAGGCACCACCCCTACAGCTCTCATTGGCCACAGTTCCCGGCCAATGGGAGCTGCGGGGGTGGTGCTTGGGGCAGGGACAGAGTGTGTAGCCCCCTGGTTACCCCTACACATAGGAGCTGGATGGGGAACATGGCGCTACTTCCGGGAGCCACACAGAGCCACAGCATGTGCATACAGAGTGATCTCTGATCCCGCTCCCTGGCTGGAGTGCGGGAGTTGGGCAAGCCCCAGACCCCGCTCCCCAGTGGGAGCTCAAGGGCCAGATTAAATTGGCTGGCGAGCCGGATGTGGCCCATGGGCTGTAGTTTGCCCACCCCTGTCTTGAACCAAAAATCGAGGATGGTAGATGTAAATGGAACTTAAAACCCAAATACGACAGATCTCAGTGAAAGCCAAAAGGAAGCTAGAATCAAGACATCAAATCCTCATGATCAAATTTGTAACAAGAACAGGTACATGGAATTATGAACTTTGTATAGTACAGAAAAACTGGCATAAGTTACATAAGAAACGAGAAAATACCATATGAACATACTTAATATCAGTGAAATGAGATGGGCAGGAGGTGGCAAGATGGTGTTTGATAGTACTACAATCTTATACTCAGGTGTAGGAATTATGCTGGATAAAATCACAGCGAAGACTCTGCTGACTTGGGAGGCAGTGAATGACAGAATAACGACAGCCATGCTGCAAACAAGACAGGACACCTGTACAAGTATATGCACCAACAAACACAGCAGGCCACAGTGAAATAGATACATTTTATGAGCAGATGCAGCAACAACTGGACGATGTGCCTACCCACAAAATCAAGGTGATGATAGGCAACTTCAATGCACAAACTGGTAACAACTCTACTGGCTGGGAAGTAGTCACAGGCAGAGCAGCGGAAGGCATCCAAACTGATAATGACGAATAGGTCTCGATTCTCAGTGGCACAAACACTCTAAAGATAGGAGGACAAGAGGAGTCACAAGGTCACACGGAGATCATGAGATTATGCAACTATCCATCAGACAGAGCACGTGTGTATACCTAAAATGTGCTATATTCTTTGAGGGATGTCAGAGTCAGCAGAGGAGCAGATGTTGGCTCAGATCGTTATATTTTAATGTCCACATTACAACTTAAACTCAAAGATCATGAAGACACACAGACAGTGTTCTAGCAAGAGAAAAGTTCAAGGACACAGAAACGTAGATCTGATTCCAGATTGGACTTAGTAACCATTCCAGGATTTATAGGACCAGGCTGATGACAGAGCAGGACATATTATAAAAGTAAGACGGCTCAGGTGGTTGGGATGTGAACACCACATGGCAGATGGGAAACATGCTACGCAAACACTGAATTGCATACCCGAAAGAGGAAAGAGAAAGCAAGGAAGGCAAAGGAAGATCTGGCACAGGAAGTGAGAACACTGAGTGAATTGCCATCACCTGGGAAGAAGTACCACAACTAGCGAGTAACCATAATCAATGCAGAAACTGGACTGCCTGAGATGTCAGGTATCTTTTTCTGCCTTTCTGACACAGGTTTTAAATCAGCAAGGCCTTCTATAAATTGGAAGGTTCATTTTTAAAAAGTGAATTGTAATCCCTCCCAAAGAAGGTGGTAAATGTTTTTATGATGTCCTTATGTGATGCTTTTTACAATGTACTTTTCTGGAGTAATTTTCTTATCACAAAGTCAGTACGAAGCAATAGGAAGAATGCAAACACCCATATTTCTAAGCTTCATTCTTGATGTGTTAAATACAATAGCAATTAAACATTAACTAGTTACATGAAATCATAACACCATGTGTTCCCCTTTTCTCAATGAACTTAACAAATTGAAAAAAATCATTTGTCTAAATACACTGAATCTTCATTATTATGCTCTTTAATGATAAAGTAGGTCTGCCCCTGAAGTTTTTATTAGACAGATCGGCAAACCTCCACAAGTTCAGTTTGGTTTAGATAACTTGGATAAGCACTCCAAATTTCGGAGTTATCTGAAACTTTTACACTGGTAAAACCGAGCAGGAAGCAAACACTCGAGAGATATTGGAGGCTTTCTTCTTCCAGTCAGGCTAGAAATAAAAGGACACCCAGTCTCCCAGCAATTAGACACTTCTGCTCTTCCAGAACAGGAGATGCAGAAACAAAGAAAAGATGAGAGGGGGAAAATTTATTAAAAAGTTACCTAATGTTCTTAAGACTTCAAAGCTTTGATTCACATTCGGTTTCAATGGTTTATTGCTATGTCCATATCTAGTTATCATATCATGTCATATCCTTCTGAGAGGATATCATTAATAAATTTACTAAAGTAAACAGAAAATTAAAAACTTAAGATGGGAACTGATTGCCAATAGTTGTTTCTTCCTATCCTTACAGGAAACTGATTAGGATTTTGACTATGTATTTTATATCTACAGGGGCTTTTTCCCTATAGGCTTTAATGAGCAATGAAGGTTTACTTTAAATAGAATATTTCTGTATTATATACAATAGGTAAGACGCTATGCAAACATCCAGAAAACAAACAGATAACTTTGAATTTAATGCAAACAAAAGATGTTATCATGACACATACAGAAGATTTATGTTTCTTCTGAATATACACAAGAGGGTTCATTCAAAAAAAGAAACTAGCAGAGTTTAATAATATCCAGAATTTCTCTTATTTTGTTTTACACTATCTAGCTCCTCATCCCCATAAACCTCCTCTTCCATCTGTAATATACACACACAAAAGAATATCGTATTCTTAGGAGCTTGACATTAAACTGATAGCCAACCATCTGATTTTTCAGTTGGAGAGTTTACTTATATTCTTTTCCACTATTTTTCTGGTGATGATTAATCTCCCTTTCAGTACCAATATCTTGGAGACAGGTCATTAGACACATAATTTTACACCTTGCACCTAACTTAAACCTAATAAAATATGGCTGAGAATAAATTGCGTGAAGCATTTCATAAAATTCTGGTGCAATTAACTTTAAATCACATGGAGAAAGATCTCAAAGAACGTTGTCATCTTTCTTTACGGTACTAAACATCATCTTTCTATAATATTTTAGCCTCACGGTGTACTGGCTCTATATAAGAAATCACTGTCAAATGTAAATATATTCTACTTAAAATATAACTTTTTGCAACTTAACAAGGTAACTGTTTTTTTTTATATACCTACCCAGAGAACAATGGTTAAATATATTCACATCTGTACTGTTCTTAAAATCTATTTTAAAGTAGTCACTTTCAACTGTAAACTTTAAAATCGTTGCACTTTGGAAATCTTTTATAAACCTCATCCTCTGGAGCCATACCATCATCAATGTCATGAGATGAAAATTCATTAACTACCAGAAGAACAGATTTTTCAAGTAAAGTGCAGGTCTCCAGTTGAGGTGAATGTGTGACTATCTCCATACAAAGATGGGGCGGGGGGGGGGGGGTAGTATTGCTCTGAACAAGCTAAAACAATAAGTGGTATTTGAACTGCTGGTTGAAAGGTAGAGGCACTGGTAATCATTATTTCTTCTTGTTTGTTCAGGACCTTCCAACAAAACAAACAACCTTTTTGTGATTGGATTGACATGGTGTTAACAATGCACTTAATGCCCAAATCAGTATGAATACAGGTAAAGCTCTCACTAATACCAGTACCAGGATGTTAAAGCCACCTATTTTCTAAGCAACTCTAAACAGCCACACATAAAAAAAAAATTATCAAATCTTCCCTCCTTTAGCAAACATAGCTAACAGTCACTAGGCCACGTCATATAGCAACCATGGGTACTGTATGATCCATAGGGCCATCTGTTAAATGCTTGTCTACTGTACCTGCAGTCTTTTCCGCAATCTTAGCTTCTGTAGCTCTCTCTTGCAGTTCTAAGTCCAGCTTTATTGTCTTCAGCTCCTTGTCTTTTTCAGACAGCTTATCCTGAAGCTTAATTGAACAAATGGACAATAAGATTCTTGTCTGACAAATATACCCTGTCCATTAATCTTCAGCAAAATAAAAATTTCCCGTTATAAAATGATTCCTTTCCTCCCAAAGAAAACAAATATTAAACAACACAGGTGTTTAACGTACTTCTATTTATTTAAAACACTAAAGCAGAAAATACCATCTGTTTTCAACCCCCTTGTTTTCATCTACTCTGTACGACAGACAGCACTGTTTTTATTTGGGATACTCCAACTCAGAAACTACTAGCTGTAACAGTGTTACATTAAGAAATTCAGAAGCAGCATGGGATGAATGATGCATCTTATTCCCTGGAATATTCTTTCAGCTTACGGCCCTTTCATAGCAATGGTGTTCAGTTCAGATAAACGGAAAGGTTTGGGCCAAGATTGTAGGTGCAATACATTCTTTTCTGTATTCTTTTCAAGCCAGAATTTTGACTCTTTCTCCCCATATTGAGCCCTTCTTTTATTTGGGAATCAATTGGATCTGTACTTGGGAAACAGTAAAGTGTGGCTGTCATTTAACTGTAAAAAAATGTACCTGCAGAAACGTCAGAATCTGCCATTTGGTTATGCACATGTGACTCTCACTGACAATGGAAACCTCTGCAGCGTGTGACCCAGGGATTGGCAACCTTTGGCACACGGCCCATCAGGGTAAGCCCCCTGGCGGGCCAGGCTGTTTTGTTTACCTGCCGCGTCCGCAGGTTTGGGCGATCGCAGCTCCCACTGGCCACAGTTTGCCACTCCAGGCCAATGGGGGCTGCGGGAAGCAGCGGCCAGCACATCCCTCGGCCTGCACCACTTCCCGCAGCCCCCATTGGCCTGGAGTGGTGAACCGCGGCCAGTGGGAGCTGCGATCGGCTGAATCTGCGGACACAGCAGGTAAACAAATCGGCCCAGCCTGCCAAAGGTTGCAGCGTGCCAAAGGCTGCCGATCCCTGGTGTAACCAATAACAGAAATTACCCCAAAACTTACATTAAAACAACCAAGTGACATTTGGGCCTGCCTATCAGATGGACTATATTCATAAAGCAAGAGCTCCAGTTTATAAATTATTGCTCTTATTTATAAGCTTCTAGCCACTGTTTATGCCAAACAGCTGATAATAGCATCATGAAATGCTTGAGCTGTCTGAGAATGGGGGAAAATCCATGGGGATAAATTGTTTAACAGAACAAATTAAATGAATGCCATTCTGGAAAGTAGGTTTCAAACTTTTCATAAAAATGTGGAAGCACCATCATTCAAACTCTCTACCATCAACATTATATTAGAAGGCTGAAGTCTAGTCTTCACGAAAAAAACAAAACCAAACCCAAGACAAGGTAGTGATGGAGGCTGAGGGAATTAAAGTAACACTAATAAAACATGGATTGGGGTTCATTTGGTAGATAGAATAACTTTGGAACCAAGAACTCTCAGAGTCTCAAACTCCTCCAAATTCTAGAGAGAGAAATCCAATGGAGATTACAGTACACAAACAGAGGGACGCAGAGGTTATATTAAAATGATCAATGCTTAAGAATTTGTACAATCTCTAGGGTTTCCCTCAAGATTAAGACATGAGGGAGTAGGGGAAAAATCTCAAATGTTTTCTATCTAAAATGAGAGAAATTTGGAGAAATATATGTAGAGATTGCAATTGTTATTTTGGTATTAGTCTAATTAAAGGTGGAATTAAGCAAACAGGAGAGGGAATCAGAGAGGGAATGTGAGAGAGTAGATAATTAAAGCTTGGGATGGAAAAATGTGGTCAGCATTAAACAAACAGAGGTGCTGTTAGAGGCCAGGTACGGTAACAGACCTGAAGAGGCACTGCTGCTAAATAAATCGAGTTCAGTCAATCAGCTGCAATGCAGAAATTCATTAATTAAATGACAACGGGGAAATGCTAATAAAAAGGGAAAATAAATACAGCGGAATTTACTAAGCCCTCAAATCTGTGAACATTTCTGTACTTGTTTTCAAAAGGACAACCAAAATGAGTACAGTTAAGCATATGCATGTTTGCAGGATTGGGGCCTGAAACAATTTGCTATGTCTAATTATTTACGTTCTGCTTTTAAAACATTGGTCTCTCCCCTCTTCTCAGAAAAGTTTTAATAGGAGTGCACTGTTGTGAGATTTCATGTTACTAAATATTATTACTTCTTCAAAATATTGTATGATACCTTTACTACTAGTTTGCTGTGAAATATCAAATTATTGTAAAAATAAATGGACAAAGCACATTTTGTGACACATTATTCTCGCTTTTGTACTGTGCTTACTTAATCACTCATTTGCAAAATTCTGTGATCTGTACTGGATCTCCCAGTCATTAGCGTGAATGACTGACATGAAACTAGCCCAGTGTGGGCCCTGATCCAAAGCTCACAGAAGACCACAGGAGTCTTTCCATTAATTTCAGTAGGTTTCAGATTAGCCCTTCTGTTTCTAAATTCCCCAGTCTCCACAAGTCTGACTGAAACCTAGTAAAATGTTAATGAATGGCCCTACAGTGATATATTTATTTTGCATCTATATCTATGATATAGGAATTGATGTCACTGATTAAAAAAGTCAAAAAATAAAAGATTATTCACTTCCTTGGAAACATTCATTATGCAAATACTAAGAGTAGAAATGACAAGAGATCTATTGATTAATAATGAAATAAAATAAAATAATTTAAAAAACTATATTAGAAAAGGTTGAAATGAAGGTTTAATGGGAAACAATAAAACAGCAAGTACTGTAATCTGAATATCTCTATTGTACCTTTTTATTCTTTGCCCTTACAACATCCAATTCTTTTAAAAGGAATGCAATATTCATCTCTTTATCTAGGTCTCCAGTCTCCTTCCAAGAAGTCATGAGGTCAGAGAGCATTCTACCTTGTTTTTCTGTAATACTATGATTTTTAAAAAAAGATTAAAAAAATTCATCAATCAATAGAATAGAAATTCTCTCATTCAGCAAGACATCCACTACCTGCATCTGAAGTTTACAAAACTATCACAGATTTAGGATTTATAAATTAGCCATAGAGCTGGACAATGCTATTTCTCATCTTTTAAACCTACAAGTGCAGCAGTATTTGAAATAATAAATGTATTAAAATGCTAGTATATAAAATAAACTAAGCTAAATAAGCTATGAAGTCTATAAATTGGAAATGCTTAAAGGAAGTAAATATCAAAAATCCTGAGCTTAATCTGGAGTGATAATGTAAGGAAAATATTGGGGGATCAAATTTATGCTCAGGATAAAGTATGTATTCCAAGAGAATGGGTCACTCAACGAAAAGAAATGAAAATATTCAAAATATATTCAAAATATTCAAAATATTCAAAAGATATGAGACAAAGGAAAACATATTTTTGGAATTCTAGAAAATGATTTTATGTTATTCTGAATATTATATCAGACCACAGGATGTTCCCACTTTATACCACCCTATTCCAAGAGCATTTATTTAGTGATGGAAAGAAGAGAGATAAGGTAGAGTTGAAAAGGTTAATTTTTGGAATACAATGTGGTGAAATTTCCTGCTGAACCTTTATACTACCTATTTTGCTTCTAAGGTCTGATACCAGCTACTGTAGGGAGCTGATAACAAGGGGTGAAATCCTTTCCTGGTTAAAAACTGAATTGGGCACTCTTGCTATACCAATCAGACAAAAATTTAGGCTTCATTAACAGTATACCAATGTCTACAAAATATTGTCTTGTAGTCTACCTTTCTAGGACCCAACTCAAAGTAAGATTTAAAAAATTCCTTTTACTCTGTCACCTGTTATTTCCAGATAACTCAGATCTTAGCTCTAATGCAGAACCAATGTAGACATGTTCATGGATTAGGGGAGAAATTCATGGATTATAAGTAACAGGCACAGAAACCTTAAGTTTTATACAATATAACCTATTACCTTTGACATACCAACTCTGCAACTTTTTTTGTGCACGCTATCTTCAAATACAATACATTTCCCAAAAATAAATAGGAGAAAACCAAGGGTGATCTTTCCCAGACAGCTGAAGACCTAGCAAAATATTTTCAAAAGTGTCTTTGGAGCCGAAATCCCATTTTCAAAAATTTACTTAGACACTACAGTCCCACTGACTTTCAATGAGACTTCCTAAATCAATGGCTCCTGATTGCCTAAGTCACTTTTGGAAATGGGATTCAGGCTCCAAAGTCATGAGGGTGCATTTGAAAATTTAACCCCTAGTAAATAAATCAGAGTTTCTCATAAGTACATACACACATGATTACATGAAGGAGCGTTTTACATTCTAATTATAATGAAAATGCAATATAGATTATCATGGGACTCAAAACAGGTCAAATAAAGAATGGAAAATAATATGGATAAGTCTACTAAAGGCCTTACAGAATATCTGCATTAAGACAATGATTAACATATACAGACCCCAGAAATTTTTATTATATATAAACATGAATAGATCAAGGATGAAACTATGGATCCTATCTCCAGCACACAAAGAAACAAATCTTGGATCCATAGAGCCATGGAGAGATCAGTTGCCCCCAGGAATGTGTTGAGAGGACTATTCATGGAATTCTAGGGTTACCGCAGTTGATTCATCACTTTCTATCAAAGACATCCATATTGAGTAGCATGTTAGCACAATTATGTCAAACAAGGGTAGCTTGCACTGAAGCAAGAGGGAAGCTGTGCAAGTGGTAGGACCAGTTATCAGTTCAACTGGACTCACCAACGTAAGAAGTTGGTATTATGAAGGTGAACACAAGAAGCGTTATTAACACTGGAAAAAGATAAGAGGGAATCTACATGGAAGGCAGAAAGATGTAAACACTTGCCCCTCCTTTCACCTTTGCTACTGACAATTTAGTCACTTGCCCAACTCACATCTAAGAGTTGCATTTGACCCTTTCACTTCTCTCCTCTCACACCCCAGTATTCACCACTTCTAAAACCATCCTTTCTTTTCAGTCCCCATTGCTAATACCCTGGCTCACACACCCTGCCTCTCTCTGACCTGAACTATAATACAACCACCTAATCCCCAGCCTCCCTGATCTTCCCATCTTCAATCTATCCACAATTCTGTAGCCACGTTATAATCTCTCTCTCACTCCACAGACCATTCCTCCCTCTCCCATAGCCCCCTAGATTCCTTCTGTGGGTGCTTTCTCCAAAGTGTTATAAATCCTCATCCTCACTTATAAGGCTTTGCCTACATCTCACCTCCTATCTGCCTTTGTTCCCCCAACTCACACCAGGTGGTCTGCCCACTCCTCACCCATCATTGCTCCCTTGGTTACTCCTCTTCCTACACTTGTCTTAATTCCCATAAACTCAACTCACTCGTGAATGAAAGCCCCTCTTCCAGTGCACCCAACAACAGCCTCATTCTCTTCCTTCAAGCCCTCTCTCCAAGACCCATTTCTTTTGCCTTGGTTTTCGTAAGTGGCCTACACTGCTGAGCTCTCTCTCCTGCTGCCCAGCCCAATACTCAATTGTAATTAGTGTCAGAACCTTCATTTCATTAGTGTCAGAACTTCATTACCAGCAGGACAGTGGGGTGGGAGGAGGTATTGTTTCATATTCTCTGTGTATATATAAAGTCTGCTGCAGTTTCCACGGTATGCATCCGATGAAGTGAGCTGTAGCTCACGAAGGCTCATGCTCAAATAAATTGGTTAGTCTCTAAGGTGCCACAAGTACTCCTTTTCTTTTTGAGAACTTCATTTGTGACATAAAGAGACTTTGTTTTAACCATTGCCCCTCATTTTGCTACCCCTCCTTTTCTACAGTTAGCTTCATTTTCAATGTTTGTCTGATGCAGATTTTACCTTCTTTGGGGCAGTGACCATGCCTTGTTTAAATTTCAGTAGTGTTTTGTGCAGGTTTATTATAGCCCTAGGTAAATATTTATCAGCACCACAATAGCTTTGGATTAGTGCTAGAGGAGAAACAGCTGAAAGGAGTAGGAGACACACTGGATTCCAGGAGACATGGCCTAGGAGTGGGAGAGCATGGTGACCATTTTTATGAATCCAACACATAAGCAGCCTTACACTCATTCCAAATTACACAGAAATGCTCCATATTTTTGGAATTTTCAAAGCCTAAGGGAGTTAGGCACCCAAATACCATTGAATTTTAATGCAACCTGGGCAGCTATCTCCCTTCATCGCCTTTGAAAATTTTACCCATAATAGTGAAATATTCTCAATCCAGGAAAAATATATAAAAGAAGCTTGTATTTACCTTGATTCTTCAGCAGTACAAGGGGCAATAACATGATCTAGACACACATTCTGGGTGCTAGCACTCTGAACACTGAGTGAGGTGGCTGTTGGCAAATCTGACAGCTTCATTGCTTCAACATTGCCTTGGATGACTAATTCATGTTGTGGTCGTAGGCTTCTTGAAGAACTTGGATAAAGCTGAAATTTCGGACAAAAGTCTTCTCTTTGCTGTTCCAGACTACAGATTTCTATTTGAAGATAAAAATTAACAAAAAGTTGTCCTTGAACTGCCTTTTAAATTGAAGGAACGCATACACTTAAAATAATTTATGAAGTTTTAAAACCCACCCACACTTTTCTTTGTAACAGAAGGAGGAAACATACCAATTTAGATCCACTGCTCCCTCATCATCCTACTGATGAAAGGAGAGGAGTGTATCCAAAGCACTGACTCAGGAGATCAGTCCATATTCAGGAGTTACTGATTTTTACTGGATATTTCACATGCAAGTCAAAAATTGCTTCCCATTTCCTGATTTCTCTTCCCTCTCAATTACTTATTAACAGGATAGATCATTGGTCCTGACAGATGACCTGCAATAGCCAGGGTAAGCCTGTATTACAGCCCGTTATGAGCCTGATTTTCATTTACACTAAGGCCTCTTGACTTCAAAGCTTATGTTAATTTTCCTCTTAGCTCCCAAAGCACCTGGCTCCACTCAGCTCTCCAGCTTCTATAGAAATATGATACTCCAGCATGTGCTATGATAGTTTTGCCACCACAATTTGTGGAAGTCTGCTGGAATATGCAGCCAGTGCATGTCAGTGCATCATTCACCCAGAGAGTGTAATAATATTTGCAAATCTTCAGAAGCAGGTATACTCTGAGCTATCTGTTTTATGTAGATTAAATAGAGACTACTAAGAGTTCTATTTCTAAAACTTCTTGAGGAGGGTTTTTGTTTTGTGTCACTGTTTATTAAGATTACTTTTATTCTATACATACTGTACTTTGATCAGACTCATTATTTCCCCTCAAAACAGATACAAGAAAAAACTGTCTATGCCCTGTTACTGTTCTATGAATAGCCTTAAAATAGCCATTAAACAAACCCAGGATACTGTACTGCATATAAAACTGAGAAGCAGAGACTTTAATCCAAGAATACTCAAAGTAATTCCCTAAAATCTGTTGAAATTGTGGGACTCTTTCTTTCCTGAGGGAGGAATAGCAATGACACACGGTCACTTGCTGCAAACTCTGCCTCAGCACTGGGGTTGAAGCTTGCTCCCTCAGGTTAGGCTATCGCAGCACTATTACGGAACTTACGCAGGACAGGCAGGACTCCTGAATCAGGTATGCACTAGTGCTCATTGTCCCACGCACCCCTGGTTTCTGACTGGCCGTTCATTGAAACTGCTGCTGGATTTATGAGCTATTGGGGGAAAGTGGTTCAGCCTCTTTCTCCCTGCTACAATACATAGCAAAGGAAGACCTCGCTGTAATGAACAAGGCAGAGCAGAGACACTGAATACAGATCTTGCCCCCACTAGGGTGTGGGACATTCTGGGTATATTCAGTCACTATTAGCTAGAGAACTAAGGTAATGGGAGTTTTTATTGCCTTTAAACCCTTGTTGTGGGGGGCGGGGTGGAATCCCTTTTGGTTGTGTAACCACTAAAGGGAGTTCTCCTTGAACTACCTTTAATTGCTTCCCTATCTACCAAAGTACACATTGACAAATCTTGTCTGCAAATGCATTGTCTCCTCCACTTCTCCCACTTTAGATACCCTTTGCTTTGCATACAAAGTAATACAAACCACCCCCCTGCACATTATAGGATGGGTGCTGCATTACTGAAATTCGTACTTGCTCTCAATAGTTTGGTTCAATCTCAGGTAATTATTTTCTTTCTGTATTCTAGCAGTAAACTCCATAACTAGTATTTATTTGAAGCACCTCAGGCAGGGATGGATTAGTGACTGCGATGAACTCTCCAACCACCACACACCTACTATTTATTATTTGTATTACCTTTGGGCCTCGAAGCCTTAGTCATGGATCAGGACTCCCTAGGAACTGTACAAACACAGGACAAAAAGATGGTTCCTGCCCTAAAATACTTATCATCCAAGTATATAACAAGCTAATCAGCCTTTGTAGTTACACTGGGACAGATCAAAATTTCAAGAGATCTCAGCTCTCATACTCCAGGGCATAAGGTGATCGATAGCAGAGGTTTTCCTTTTCCTATTTTTCACATCTGCAGCTTTTAAACCTCATCAATGGATGTACTGAGTTCTTGCAGGAGGGTGAGCTGAACTGTACTGTTTAGGGCACTAGTAGGGTGGTGCTCTCTGATTCCCAATCTAGGTGTGGTTAGGACTTGGAAATCTATGTCTCCTTTGAGTCATCAGCAAAGCCAGTCATCATTGCAATGGATTCAAATTTGCATGGGACATTTCAATTAGCTGGTCTTAGGGCCTGTAATTGATCTGGCTTGAGGGATGCTTATGGGACCTGGTCCTTCCTTGCTGGTTTTATAAGACAGAGAGGAAAGGTGGCAGCCTCCCCCTCTCAGAATTGGAAGGACTATCTGTCATGGGGCATTAAGGGTGAAGTTGTTGCTTGTTCAATAAAGCTGCATCCTTTCTTTGCCAAGGCACTACAACTATGTCATTGTCCTCATTTGAGCGCGTCTGGACCAGAGTGCTTTGAGGAAAATTTTGTAAATGCAGTCAGGTTTACTGTGTATTGTGACTTTTATCAATTTCAGAAATATTTTATTCACCAAATAAGCATGACCATTTGTCCTAGCTACAGAACCACCTTCAACTCCCTAACTAATAATTTAAACCCTGGGGCTGATGCAAGATGATAACTTGGCTTATTGCTAAATTATGCAACAATATGGATCATTGCCCACCTTGGGTGTGTTGCTTCATGCCTCCTGTGAATCCTAAGGTGTGCATTAATCAGTACTAGTGCACAGACACAACAGACACTGAAAGTATATGTATAATCAGGCTGCATGAAGAGTGCCACGGATGGGACTCGCAGCATCTTTTTAGACATTCTGGAATATATTTTCATTGAAGTGGTACCACAACATGGATTTTGACTCTTCTCGCATGGGCCAACCAACCTTTTTTCTATATAAATTCCATATTAATATTTCACGGCAAAGGTGAAACCAAACAGCTGATCATCAATTTATCTTGAATGAATTGCTCATTCATGTTGAGGGAAAGGGGGGCAAATGTTAAGAAGGGATATAAAGACACTATAATTGAAGCTGGCAGGTCCGTGGGGTGGAGAAAGTTAAAGGGGAATTGGTTTGTGTTGAGAATAAGGTGGAGGGAAATTTAGCATGTTTAACTTGGGAGTGATGGAGGATGAAACAAGTAGTAAAAAACCAAAAAATATGAGCCTACCATATAAATGCATCCTTCCCCCTAGTCCTCCTCTGTCTTTGTCTTTTTAAATTGTACGCTCTTTGAGGAAAGGACCATGACTTCCTCTGTGCATGGAAAACACCTAGCAGTTTTTGAGCACTGCCGCAGTCTAAGCTACAGCAGTCATTACTATTTCTATCATCACTGAAATGTCAGAGGCATTGGGATGGGGAAGCAGACTACTGGAGAATCCTGTAGCTACACAGACAATAAAGGAAAAGGGGAGATATGCTGGTTTAAAACTGGTGATGCATAGCTCTCTGGGACTTCCCAACACTCCACTTGTTATACTCAGCTAATCAGCACTTAGTTTGTCAGGAAATATCTGGGGACTTACATATATGTAAAGGGAAAGGAAAGAACTGAGCAGGCAGTAGGGTAGGTAAGATAGGAGTTATCTGCAGAGGACAGAGATGGCCAAGAGGGATGGAAATTAGACAAAGGAAGGAAGAGGGAAGACAGAGAGAAAGACAAAGAGCAATATACATTCTGGAAAATGAACTAAGCTTTTTTTGGAAAGCAGATTACTAAATTACAAGCTCATGGGCCCATGCTGTCATTGTTAAAGGGACACTCAGGTTGAAAATCATATTAAAAACCCCATACTTTAAATAAAACCCAAATTTCCATACTTATGGTATCAACAGCAAGCTTAGATGATTAAAAAAAGAACAGTAACAAAATCTATATTAACTTTTCATTATTTATTCTGTTTATGTCTGTAGGCCGACATAGCTATGTCACTCAGCAATGTGAAAAATCCACGCCTCCGAGCAACGCAGCAATGCTGACCTAGACCCCACTGTAGATGGAGCTAGGCTGATGGAAGAATGCTTCCAGTGACCTAGCTACTGTCGCCCAGGAAAACCCCTTCCATGAGTGCAAGCTGTGTCTATGCTATGGCAGAACTATAACACCATAGAGTCCCCATAGTAAAGAAATACCCCCAATCTGTTTCTAGTTTGCATACGATGTTTGGGACATTGAGCAAATGTTCATTTGTTTAAAAAGAAATATAAAATCTATTCCCACCGAATATTAAAAAAAAGAAAGAAACCTTTATAGCGGTATTACAAATACTTATTCCACCACCACTGACCACAATACACATATCTGGTCAAATTTGAAAATCCAGATATTTATGTCAAACCATAGACAACCAATCTATACAATGTCCAGGTGCTAATATCAGGCAACAAACTATCACCTAAAAGCTTCATTGCAACCCTTCCCTCTCATTTTTGAGGCAGTGATTGATCTTGTTACTTTATTATTGATTTGTCAAAAAAGTCCAAACCAAGTTTAACTTTCGTGGAGTGGTGGAAAATAAATTTCTAAAAATTTCCCGTGACCTGCAACAATCCAGATGTTTCTGCTTCAAAAATTCCACCAGTGCTGTACGTTTGGGTTGAAACAAGATGTTTGTTCTGACAAGACTATTACCATCATTATCTTCAAGCAATATCAGCTGAACCATTTCAGCTGAAAATAGACTAAAGTGTTTGTGATGTGTCATTCCATATTCTTTATGAAAATACAGTTATGATATGAATATGACATAACTGAGATATATTTTGTGCAAGATGGCTCATGTATCATCGGAAAGGTTATGATTTGCTGAATGTTATTATCCAATTTGTATGCCTGTATCAGTTCTGTATCTGAAGTTAGGAATATTGAATATGTATCTGTATTTGTAGCTGTATTTCAACTATGCTACTTTGGGTGACGCCCACTACTAAGAACTTCAGGTATAACAATGAAAAAGCCTGACAGTGCTGATGGCCCATC